CCCCCCCCCCCCCCCCCCCCCCCAACCCAGAAAAAAATAAATAAAAGAATTCTTCTATGATATAGACTTTGACCAGAAGAAAGTAATTTCATAAAGACCAAGTTTTTGGAAGTCTTCTATGGAACATGGTCAGATCCAACAGAGTTTTGTTATATTTCATATTGCACTGCCACCATGACTTGAAATTTCAAGCTCTTTTTCTAGTTACAATTGTTTGAAGACAGTTGAAGTAAATAAATTCATTCCTTCTTAGGCAACTTGATATTTTAGATCAGCTAGTTCAACATCGTACCGGAGCAGGCTTCCTTTGAAGGATGGTCCTTGCTATGGATTGGCCAACCTATGATTGGAAGGTTCTGATTTCTGAAGAGGGCTGACCTTTTAGGTAAGGAATGGAAATTATCAGCACCTCTTCTTGGCCTGAAAAGGCAGGGCCACCAACCGTATTAAATCCAAAACAAATGACCTCCCCGAACCCAATTTTGTACTAGGGTCTTCTACTGGTTTTGTGAAGTCACCGGCTAGAAATGTGGGTTGCAATGGACGTTAATTCCAAAAAGAAAAGTGAATTGTAACAACTCTACTCCTCGTCACTGGATTAAACTTTGGCTTTGAACTTATAAGTTAATCAGGCACCCTGTCCTCACAAGCCAGTGTTAAGGGTTCTGGCCAATGTGATTGTAATAATGGTATGACTGTATGGGAGCCCAACAAATTCTACAGAAGCTAGTACGGGAGTAGGTTCTCTTCTCCAGAAGTGATTTAGAAAGTTGTTCTCAAGTTTCGCCACCACTCATTTATGGAAGCCATTTAAATCATGGGAGGTGTTGAAGATAAAGTTTAATTAAATAAATAATTGTCTCGTCTCTAAATGCTTAATATTTTAAATGATGTGGTTGATCGACATAGAACATAAGAAGTATGATTGCATGTTCTAGAATGATCTGTTTCCTTGTTTAACTCCATCCTGCTACTTTTCAGTTTTCTCTTCTGATCGTTTCTTTTTTTCATAATTTCGAACTGTAGCAATCCATTTATATGGATCACATGGTAGGACGATAGGAGGAATATAATTTGTTTGTTTCTCTTAATTCGACCTTATTTTCTCGTGTGTACTCTCTCGAGGCCTTTCCTCTTTCCATGTCACTCACTCTCTCTGGCCTTTATATTTGAATCTATAATCTAAAACAATGAAGAATTTCTATTATTAACTAGGGTGTTCAAGTTGCATAGGGATCTTTATCTTTTTTCTTCTGCTACATTCCTATCATAGTTCTAGTTTAGTTTTAGTTAGCTCGAATGACCTCGAGTAGTTGCACATTTGCTTTGGATTCATAGCTTAGTAGCTCTGAACTGAAACCAGTTAATGTTTAGTGTAGGTGGATGCCCTTGGATCGGTGGATGGGATGAACTGATGACATTACATTATAGTGAATTTCTTTTATCTTAACAGATCAGGTATATAAAGGAGATATAAATATCTTCTTATATGTAACAAACCCCAAAAGGAAGACTTCCGGAAGTCCTGCTTTACTCAGTAATGCATTTATATAGACATTGTAAAAAATTATTCCCTGAATTAAACATCGACAAACCACTAGCATTTAATAGATGACAAAGAACGTTTTTTATGTGTATATTTATTTTTATTTACACCATAATATTTCAGTCTAATAGCCTTTGCATCGCTGATGCAGTACAATTGCACTTGATGCTGTCAATATATTTTATCATACCAATATTATTATCAAACCTGTTACTTCTGAAAGCATTGAGCCGAGTTGCTATGGTGGTTCAGTTATTAATTTGTGTTTTTGAAGTCGGTAGGCTCCATTTATTTTTTTATCTTCAATGAAATTTTTGTTGATGGAAATGTAAGTTTCCTGTGTTTGAAATCACTTTTCTGCAGAGTATTTACAGTGACCTTCAAAACATGAAAATGTTCTTGGTGAATGATAACATTGCCCTGTTTTATCTAAATGATCATATATGCATTAGTGTATGTTTTCAGACTCTACTATGGTCCTAAATCAAAATACTGGTACTAACCTCAAGTTGTGGGGTTGGTAATTTCTGCTCTCAATCATTTTAAGTTTTTCTATATGCAAACATAATTTCATTTGATAGCAATTCAATGACAGCACATCTGTATATATTTCTGAATTTACAAGTTATGATTTTATAAATGCAGTTGGCACTTTCAAACTCAAGAGAAGAACGGAGAAATCTATATCTGGTTCTTTTTGATTATTTATTGCATAAGATAAATGAGACATGTATAGCTTCTGGAGTGTCCGAGTACAGTGATGACGAGGTTCAACCTATTGCTACCTTGCTCATGCTTGCAGATGCACCTGAAGCTCTGCATTTATCTGTCAAGTTAGGAGTTGAAGGCATGGTGGAGCTATTGAGGAGATCAATTTCTACAGCATTGTCCAGATATCCTAATAATGATCGGCTTATTACAGTAATGTTCCATGTCTTTAACGTTTTCATCTGCATGAACAAGAGCTTAATATTTCTTTTTAGCTTGTGAGCAAAGACTAGGGAAGATATCCAAATTTATAATTGATTTATATATCCATACAGTACTCAACGGTTGTATGCATTTTTGTTTTAGTGTCAACGTCTTCATGATATTCGGTGTTTTTTCAGATAGGGACTGTAATGCCTGTGGTCTGTTACCTCTCAGGATTTTCCTCATGCATTTACTATGGGAAATAGGGGTAGAAGACCATAAAAGAAAAACATAGAATAACTTCAATTTAAAATCTGTATCTTGAAATGGCGCGTAGAATCGGTTGGTTTCAGGACATGGAACTTGAATGAAAGTAATCTTGCACTTACTCAACATATTTGCTTGCTTGTGATCTACGTGTATAGGTTCTTCCCTCTAATGGTGGCCACATATCAGCCTTATGGTTAACCATGACATTTGACCTTGATGTGTTCTTTATGTCTGAATATAACCTTGTTTTGCATTTCAAGTTGATTGTATTTACTCTTTGCTGTCTCATCTTTATTAGTGGACTTCAGGAAATTGCGTGTCTATGCATCTAAATTTGTGGAAGTCTAATTTTGTTCGCTATCTGTCAGATTTTATTTCCTTGTTTTTTCACTTTTGCTGCTGCTTCTTTAAACCTAAGAAATGGCATGTATAGTTAAATTGTACTGCTTTATTTTCTTTCTAATAATTTGTTTTGAAGGTGGATTTGTTTGGTTTCACTTTTTCTAGCTCTTTTCCTCACGCGAACGCACACATACATGTTTGTAGCCACATATGCATCCAAAAGAGGAATTACACGAACTTTAATTGTATTTGAGTTGTGTTTTCTCTTGCAGCTCTTGCAGAGTATGGTAGAGAAGTTTGATATGCTCATGAGATCATTTACTCATCTAGACAGAGAATTTACCCAAATGGTTCAAATAACCAAATCATACAAGTCTTTAGAAAGCATTGATGAAATTCACAGAAACAGTGTTGGCATCAAAGCAAATCTCTCTTGGGCCACTTTACATTCTCTTCTTCATTCTGAACGATCTGCTTATCGGCACAATGGGTATCTCTGGTTAGGAGATTTGCTCATTGCTGAAATAAGTGATGAAGGGGACGAGAGCCTGTGGTTGAGCATACAAACCTTGGAGCAAAAAATCAAAATTGCCGGTGTTAATGATTATTCAGCTTCTTTAGGCGTTCCTTTACCCATTTGGCTTATGTGTGGGCTTCTAAAGTCAAGAAACAATCTTATCAGATGGGGCTTTCTATTTGTTCTAGAGAGGCTGCTCATGCGATGCAAATTTCTGTTAGATGAGAGTGAAGTTCAACATGTTATCAGAAGTGAAGCTGCAGGCCACATGCACGCCAAGAGTCGTCTTGAAAAAGCAAATGCTGTGATAAACATCATGAGTAATGCCTTATCCTTGATGGCCCAAAGAAACGAGACTGATCGTATGAATATTTTGAAGGTAATGTTGTTGCCTGATTCATCTCGAACCTGTTGTAACAGTGTAACTGTTTCAAAGTTACCGTTCTTTTCACAGCTATAGCTACCATTTGGATGCTATCTATTTTGGCCTAATGATGCATTTATATTATTGGGATTGGCATAACACTGAAGCAGATAAATGTCACATTTATCAGTATCTGCTGTCCATTATCTCTGCATTGACCATTTGGATGTTCAAAATATATTCTAAATACCTCTTTTCCTGAAAAGTATAATAATTAAATTTTTTTAGTAGCATATTGATGATTGCCCAAATACTTTTGTAGCGGTGGCAACAAAATTATTTGATGCCTGGCGGAACTTGGGCCTTTCCCCCTATTTTCATGTTTAATGGCTGAACAGTCTTTTGTTGGGTGGATTTCTGCACCTAAGTGTTAAAATGCCTTTCCAAGTGGCACATCTTTTTAATTGCTAACTTGAGCTTTGATTTTGTAAATTAGTTGTGTGGTCTGAATTTTCCATGGTTTCATCATAACTTTGAAAAGGAAAATCACAATCAGTGAAACTCGGGGTGCTCTTCCCAATACTCTTCAGAGGAACAAAAAGGAAAAAAAGAAAAAAAGAGCAGTTGCAAGCCAATATATAGTGTTCATTTATTTGCTTGATTCTCTTACATTTGATTTTTTATATGCATGTGTGTGCGTGTGCTGCATGCATGTCTGAATCATATTTTTCTCTCTTTTATAACCTTACATAATTATCTTTCTTGATGTATTTGAGCAGATGTGTGATATTCTATTTTCACAATTGTGCTTGAAAGTAGTCCCCACAACTGCGATGCTGTTTGGAGACACACAGATTAATGATTCTAGTAGTTCAGAATGGAACAAGGCAGGAGCAGAATCTCTCTCTCAAAAAGAGAACCTTGGCCGGGAAGAATCCACGGGGGATTCTGACAGCAAAATTGGCAAAAGTGTAAATCCTAAAATCTGTGGTACTGCATCCATGGCAGCACTGCTGCTTAATGGACAAGCAATTGTACCCATGCAATTGGTTGCACGCATTCCTGCTGCTTTATTTTACTGGCCTCTGATCCAACTTGCTGGAGCTGCAACAGACAATATTGCATTGGGTGTCTCTGTTGGTAGCAAAGGAAGAGGGAATATACCAGGTGCCACGTCAGATATAAGGGCTACCCTTCTCTTACTCTTAATTGGTAAATGTACAGCAGACCCTGCTGCTTTTACAGATGTTGGTGGTGAAGAGTTCTTCAGGTAACTTTGTAGTTTAATTTAATAACTCTTGTACATGGAAGTCACGTTCCTTGTAAATGTTTATGAAGGAGTTTTACATCAATGGATATTCGGCAGGGAGTTGTTGGATGATACAGACGCAAGAGTGGCTTACTACTCTTCTACCTTTCTTTTGAAGGCAAGTGTTTGATCTCTTTTGCTTACCTCGAGGTATGAAATGTTCAAGCTATTGTATTGAATTTATTTGAAATTTAAATTTCGCAGAGAATGATGACAGAGGAGCCAGAAAATTATCAACAGATGCTTCATAGCCTTGTTTCAAGAGCTCAGCAGGTGCATTCTTATTTGATATTTCATCTGAAGAATATATGGCATTTCTGGAAAACTATTGTTACTTAGGAACATAGTTAAAAAGGTGTGATTGGAGCTCGCCTCGGTCTGAGGCGGTGAAAAATAGCACTGAGGCACGAATATTTAAGGGGAAAAATGAGGTTTATGCCTTTGGTGGTTGAGGAGGTGCACGCCTCAAAGTGAGTGAGGCATGCGACTCTCCTTAAATATCTTGGGAATTAATTTTTTTTTTTTTTTAAGTTCTCTTCTTACATTGGCTGACTTCATTGGAAATCTAATATATATTAAAATAGCATTGGGAATCTACTAAGTTTTAATAAAATCTTACCAAAGTTCATTGGATATCTGCCACAAATTATCTTTTGAAATCCATTATATATCAAAACCTAATTAATTTCTTTGATTATATAATGCACGTCATAGATAAAAATATGTCACAAGTTCTAACACAAAGAACACAAAAAAAACACTACAACCCTAGAATTGCATCATTTCAATGACTGCTCCTTCGGCGAAGGAGACATCACTCCGGTGGAGACTTGATTGCATTGGTACTTTAAGTTGTTCTATTAAAATTTTATATAGTATTAAGTTTATTTTTGTACATTTTTTTTTGCTAATTTTTTGTTCACAAGTCTTACGCCTCACTTCACAAAGGAAAAATGCCTCTGTAGGAAGCTCCAACACTGACATAGACACATCTACATGCAATTTTTCAATAAGTATAGATGTGTCCTCGACACATTGACTAAAATAATATTTTTATTTTATTTTCATATTGTGAAGTAAATTTATTTTTGTGAATTCTGGTGTGTCGACAATATATCTTTCAGCGTGTTGGCAATGTATCGGTGACATGTCCAGCTCTACAAAATAAAAAAACTAATTTGAATACGCCACCTGGCATCATTGACATATGTTGGCAACGTGTCAATGTCCCACACGATTTATCTGCCAGCTTGTTGGCAATGTATCGGTAACATGTCTAACTCTACAAAATAAAAAATAATTTGAACATGCCATTTGGCATCATTGACCTATGTTGGTGACATGTATATCCTAGCGTGTTGGCAATATGTTGGCAGCATGTCCAATTATACAAAACCAAAAGTAATTTGCTTGTAGGTGACACACGATTATCTCCCGGATTATCGGCAATGTGTCATCGACTTGTCCAACTATACGTAACTAAATATTAAATTGGAGATACCACATGGTGTTTTAGACATGCGTTGGTATCATGACATGTACTCAACAGCACCGGAAGGGTTATCGGTGCTTCCTAGATTGTTACTTTATTGAGTGTAGGAACACCATTTGTGAAGTCCAGTACTTTTTTTGATAAGTAAAAGAGAAAATTACGGATTTGTACCTCCTGCAAGCGCAAATGGAGAGAGCCTCTATGCTACACATGATTAATAAAAAATGTGAAGTCCAGTACTAGGTAGTAGTATCCTATAAATATGACGCCACCAGAGAGTAAACAAAATGAACAGTAGAATATTCAGAATGGGAAACTCAAAAGTTTATGCTGCATCATTTGTTTTCTAACTGGGTGACCTAGCTGAGTTGAAAACGAGGTAGATTATATTGATCACACGAGGGATTTTGCATTTTCTGTTGCCAGTGCATCAGGTCTACCATTTTTGCAACATGACTCTGCCAAGATTATCAGATTTCTGATGACCTTATTTAGAACTCGTCCAGCTATGACTGATTGCATTAGCTCGCTAAAGTCTGAGTTTTCTAAGTCACTCAGTCATGCCAGGTTACTTTTAAGTTGTGAACCTGATTTCTTAAGCTACGGTCATAATGGACTCCTTTCTTGCTCCATTTTCTTCACTTTACTTCAAATCCTTGAATGCACAAGCAATGTTGTCTACAGTTGGTGGAGCATAATCTTTATACATTGTTTTGTATATTTGGGTAGAAATATTCAAGAAAATACAAAATAACATATCTGAATAAGAAAACCGATTGTTTTACTCACCTGTACGAAAGCTGGCAGCAGCACATACTGGAGAGGCAGAGATGTTGGTTTTTTTAATCTTTGTTTGACTATTTCGTCAGTTTCTTGAAAGTGAAAATGGAACCAACTGTAATATCACCTTTTAGTCTTGTAAATTGCAAATACAAGAATCCATACTCAAGAAGAGCAATGAAAAAGATAGGTTTTCGTTTTATTGTTTATGAAATTATTCCATCCCTCGTTTGATCTATCAACTTACTTCATTTGTTTATGGTAAGGAGTTCCTATTGGTCGTTCCTCTCTATAGCATGTGTAGTAACATTGAACCCTTTCATTTTATGATCGTCAAGATTTCAAACAAGTGCTTAAGGTTTATGAATCTCCTTACAGAGTAACAATGAAAAGCTGTTGGAGAATCCCTATCTTCAGATGCGTGGCTTACTTCAGCTGTCAAATGAATAATTTGGAAGCTCTGAGTTGTTCTTGATTTGTTTGGTTTCATTTGGAGAAATTTATTGCTCTGTGCTCCTGATGATCTACTGGTGGGGCAATCCCTGGTTAGATTGTGAATTAGTGAGATACAAGATGCTTAAAGAGGCATCAATTCACAGCTGTATTCTATGCAGCCAAATTGAAATCAAGAGAACAAGGTGCTTGTACATTAAACTTGGCCGCATACTTTGTCTGCCGTTGTATATTCTTTGAGAGCCTCCGTTATGCTGCAGTTTGGCTCACATTAAGAGACAGTTCCATCTATTGGTTGAAATGATGAAAAATCACTCGTACATATGAAAATAAAGCTTTGCATTCGTTTGAAGTTTATGAATTGGCACTTTTGTGCGTACAGTTGCCAAAGCACAAACTATCATTGAGCTTCTATTTGCTGAAACCTTCTGATGGTGGCTGTTGAGCCTTGTCCAGGTACTGCGTTCAAGTCTGCTCTTTCTATTAAATTCCCATATTTTCAAAATGTTGGCCATCAGGAAAAACTTTTCCAATTGTGAATTTTCGTGTTCGTTACCATTTAATAACTTGAGTTAGTAATAACTATTTGCAATGTGCAATTTTGTTCAACTGTGATTTTTTGGCATCCTTTCAAGAACATTCCTCTTCCCTCGTGGAGCTTTTGGATCAAATCTGCTTGATTTATTTCTCTGTAATTTTCTTACAGCGTAAAAATATGTACACGTATCTATTGGTATTCAGTGCAAGTTTACACAACTTTCTTTCTGACGATTCTGTGGTCATTTTCTAAGTGGAAAGCAGTGTATTGGCATGTCGCCGCTGAGGAATGTTAATGGAGTCTTTGATAAAGAGAAGATTTTCATTTTTTTCTTTCCGAAGGACAGTATTCTTCAGACGAAGCTCTCGATAATCAGTCACTCACTTCTTAATGAGTGCAAGCTCAGCCGCAAGGATTGGGAAGTCAAGACAATAGACGAACATCTCATTGCATGTGAAGTCTCTCGATAGGGGCACATTGGCATATAAAGTTTTCTTAAATTTGTGTTTACTGGTTTTTGTAGTTTTGCTTTTCATTGTGTAGGCATTTTGCATTCCCATTTTCCTTAGCTTACAAAATTACGCCAGATACAAGAGCATAAAATATTAAACTCTCACTGTTGTATAATTGCTGTTGATTTTAACATGCATAATAATTATATGCTTGTATTTTTGTGCCTGAAATTTCTAACTTAATGCTCCGGGTTCGACTCCCTTTTACTCTGTATATTTTTCAAACGACGATATATTTTCTTTCACTACATAATTCTTAGTTCCAATTTGGAGAGCATATTGCGCATTTGAGTAAACTGCATCATCATCTTCATCACTTAATAAGAGAGTGAGAATTACCTGATCAATGATTCGCATCTACTAAACCAACAGACTTTGCTATACTCCGCCGGACGTGGAATAGTGTCATTTCATATTTTCAAATGATAAATAATATTATTAAAATTAAAAATGTATTATTGAAAAAATAAAATATTCTTTCCGAGATATGAATTTCAAATAAAGGGCAAATTAGATTTTACAACCCAACGCCCCAATTTTCCGAGATATGAATTTCATTCTGTGCGCGTCACAATACATTAGGAAAAAAAAAAAAAAAGTGGCCCTACATCGTTGAAGGAGAGAATCGGTATTTTGCCCCAAAAAAGAAAAAAAAAAAAAAAAAAAAAANTTTGAATGACGGCTAGAGCTCGAGCCGACTCGTGTGGCTTGTCGAGCCACACAAGCTGGCTCGTACATGCCCAATTGGCTGCAAGCAAGCTGTCGCCCATCTTTGTTTTAAAAAAAAAGAGTGGGCTCAACTCGATAAGGCTCGAGCTTAAAGTTCAAGCCAAGCCTCAATTTTTCAATAGAGCTTTGGCTTGGGCCAAATAAGCTCGAACCATTTTTTGCCCCGGGCCACACTCGAATTGTAATATTCGGCTCACCTACTGTTAAAACCTAAACGCAAATGCTTTGGATCTCCCCAATTTTTTATATTTATTTTTCAGCTTATATTTACTCATCAACAGTAAGAGGCTCCGATGGCATAGCCTAACACCACACACTCCTTGGCCATCGAAAAATTGATCGATCTGAGGAAGAAAAGAGGGATTTGAATTGGTTACACATTTGATTTTGGGAAGAAACGGAGTAGACGACGTGAAGTGAGGTGTATTGTGATGGTAGGGTGAGTGTATTGAATAACCTAAAATTTGATTTTAATCTAAATCAAAGTCAAACAATCAATATTAATCACATTTTTCACGGGTTCTACAACTTTTCAACCACACATTTCAAAAACTTTTATCACAATCTACTAAAAATCTAATTTTAATCCCCACTAAACACCCACATATTATTGTACTTGGTTTTTGAAATCTAAACTTAAAACTTGAAAGGTAGGTTTGAAGGTAATTTTCACTACTTTTTTTCATTGTTCTAATAAAGAGTGATTAGACGTGAAAGTGAAGTTTCAAACTTTATGAGGTTAAGCGAGCTTAAGCGACGTCTAGGAGTAAAAAAACTTTTTTTTATTTTTATTCATTTTAAACATTAATTAATAATTATATATATCAAACATCTAAAATTATAAAATACTATCTTACTTAATAAATCCTATAATTAGTCAATAATATAATTTTCAAATTTTTGAAATGCAAAAATTAGACTATTTTTCACAGTTTTAATTTTCAACTAGACAAATCTTACTTTATAGATTTATAGGAACTTCATACATGCTTTTGAAATTTTTAACAAAATAACGAGTTTCAAAATCGTAATTACATATGTAATAGCATCGTAGCTTAATCTTACTTTAACTCTTTATCGAATATCATTTTAAGCGTCTGTTTGACCAGCATTATTCCCAAATGAAAATGAGAAATAATGCCGTTGGACACCAAAACCAAGAATTATGTGAGGGGTAAGTAAAAAATAATCAGCAGGTGGGGCCCCCTCAACGGTACAAATTTTTCTAAAGAGGAAGAAATAATGCAGGCCAAACAGGGGCTAACTTTTTATATAGATAAAGTCTTTTAAAAACTAGAAATTAAAATAAACGAAAAGTATTTTTAAAAAAATAAAATTAATAAAATGCCTAGGAGTGACAAAAGAGAGAGATGAAAAAAATTCAGCCTTTTAGGAATGGAAAAAAAAAAAAGGTCAAGGCACAAAGCGAGGCGCTTTGCCCGAGCTTCGGCCGAATAGGCGAGCTTTTTTCTGCAAATAAAACGTGAAAAACTTAGATATTTAAATGTATTTATAAAATGTAGAAAACTAGATATTTTTAAAAAGAATTACTTTTAAGTAATTTTAAGTTTGTAAAGGCACAGCCAAACATGGATTAAGCACATAATTTCCTAGCAATTTCCTCTTCTCTGTCGGTTTGCTCCTCTTTCTTCCCTTCCTCGCATCTTTACCGGGTGGTGGGTAGTACATAGCACGTGGAATTCCACAAATATCATTATCTCATTTTTCTCTCGTCTGCTCTGCTTAATCACGTCTTCAATCATGGAGGATGGTATATTCTCTCTCTAAACTCATATTTTCTAAAAGCTATATACATAAAAGTGTTATGTGAGTGCTTGTAAGCAGCTTAATCTTTGAATTATGAGAAACTGCCGTGGTATGATCTATTTATGCTGTTAATGTAATTCAAACTAGCTAACTTCATAAAGAATCGAATAAATTAGCTTCTCGGTCGTTGAATGTTGATTCAGCGAGCGAATCTGCTTGAAATTTGAAAAGAGTAATTTTTTATTAAAAAAAAAAAGGAAACTTGTTGCAGGAAAACTCGATGCCTATTGTGTATGTGATTACAGAAGTTTGAGGAAACTTGGGGTTTCGTGACTGATTTTGATACAGAGAACTGCCTGTTGTCGAGATAACATAAAATAGAAACCACATATAGAGAAAAATGAATTTACTGTTTTTTCTTTCCTTCACAGCTTTTAGACTGTCACTGTAATATTTCGCAAACAATGCATTTTAGGGAAGGTATACAGAATAAGCGCCTGATCCTAGTACAAAAGCACGCAATAATATATTTTCAAATATTCTCAAGAAGGTTAGATATTCTTGGATTGTAAATAATTCATGTTAGGTGGTTACCGTTCTTGTTTTCATTTTCACAGAAACTTTGTGTGAAAAATTGTATTTTGTAGATACTTGGAGGTAAGGTTTTATGTTCCCCTCCATGTACCATTTTCATGTTAATTCACCAAGGTAGTTGGCAATGCCAAAACCCCGTTGAAGTGTAGTTAAGTAGGCCTAATAAACCCTTACCTCACTTGGATAGACTTTACCGCAACCACCCCCCCC